ATTTCTAATTGCAGGTTTGTATTTGAAAATTTTCATTTATTTTGTCTGTTTATATCTCATTTTCCTGAATTCTTCTAAAGTTTTTTCTGTGTTCTCATTGCTTTCCTTGTTCTTTCTGCCAATATTTATAAGATAACCAAATATCATTCTTTTGAGTTCTTTTTCATTAGTTCCATTATCTGTTTTTTCCTGAGAATCATTTTCTGACGCTGCATCTTGGTCATTTGTTTGAGCCAGTGTCTCTTGTTTGTTTGTGTGAGCTAAAATTGTCTGTTATCTCTGGGCATTGTGGGGCTGTTGAATTTGTAAAACAAAACAAAACTGCTTAGTTATTTGACCTGTATGGGAGGAATATCTGATTGTTGTTATGTGCCATGGAAGTCGGTACCGACTCATAGTGACCCTGTACAGGGTTTCCGAGGCTGTAAATCTTTATGGGAACAGAAAGCCTCATCTTTCTCCCGCGGAACAGCTGGTAGTTTCAACCTGCTGACCTTGTGGTTTGCAGCCCAATTTGTAACCACTACGCTACTAGAGCTCCTTGGAATATCTGGTAGGCACCTGTAATTCAAGGAGCTCACAAGGTGGTTGTGGAAGGACTGTGATGGCAGAATTTCTGGCCCTAGAAGGAATTCCAATTGGCCTCAGTGTTCAGTGCACTCAATCTAGAATTGTTTATGGGAACCCTCGATAGAGCTATTTCAGTGTCTGTCAGGGCCACAGGGAAACTAGGGGAAGGGTTATTGGTTAAATGCTTGTTTGGTGGCTCTGTAGGTCTGGAGCTGAGCCCACCTGAATTCAGGTACCAAAATGACACACCAAAGTAGCGCAGCTGGCCCCTACCTGACACTGGCTGACTCCCAAACTTGTGGCTAAGATCTCCGGGAGAGCAGGGTCTGCCCTTGGGGTGGATAAGGGTGGAATCTGGCCACACCTGTGGTCACCAGGGAAGTGTGTGGGGAAAAAAAAGGAATTGAACCTTTCCCATCACCTGTATGTATCTGCCAGGCCTCACTCTGCTGCCAGAACTGCTCACAAGATGGTATATCTTTGTCTGGTCAGCTGTTACTGGCCAGCCTCCCTCTCTCACCATCCCTAGTCTGCCTTGCCTTTCAGCAAGCACACCATTCACCTTTCTAACCTTTCTTCTGAGGTTCAGGGTGCCAGAATTTTCATCTGTAGCTATTTTATTTGGTCTGTTGTATCGGTGTTGTAGAGGATATGTG